GTTGAAACATGGCTGCTGTTGTTGCTTGAATTGGATAAGGATGTTGTTGAAGAATAGCTGGCCCATATTGAGATGGATCAATTGATTGATTATAAATTTTATACTTAAAAATGATTCTGAAATTAAAAATTCTGCAAAAAAATAATTTTTGTGGGCAAATTTTTGTGACAAATTAAAAGTTATGACATAATTTATTTTTAAATAAATTGTATGCAGTTTGTTTTATCAAGGATAAAAATCACAAAACGGTCAAAATGACCGCTACGGGCGTTCTAGTATAAGGACAATTCTGATGTCACATCCCAGAGATCTTTCATTCGGAAATGTTACAAGATTTCGAAGAAAACACCAAGAAGTAAAGATGTTGAATTCTTAACATCGAACTTCGTTAGGATCTGGGGTGAAATCTTTTTGTTGCATTTTCTTCTGATATATGTAGACCATAGATATCAGACATCATGACAGTATTGTGCAGAGCTGCAGAATCTGCCCATTTGCTCCGACGGCCATCGGGGGAAAATTTATTGATTCGGGGAAATCTTTTTGAAAAACTGGAATTCCTTTTTGGAAATATTTTGTAAAAAGAAATTGTGTTTGTGAGTAATGTCGGGGAATTTTCTGACAAACTTTTTCCATCGGGAGAAATTTCTCAATCTCACGGGTAGATTCTGCACCTCTGGTATTGTGAGTAGACTGGCTGGAAAACTGGAGAAGTTTAGTCACCACCGTACACTCAATATTTGTTTCAAGAATGGATCGATGATTACAATATTTTCAATCAAATAGTTTATACATTGTCCAGCAACTTTTCGATCGGGGAAAAGTTTACATGTATTACAAAACTGATGGATTTTTAAATTTTATCTGACACTTTTCTGAAAAAGGCATTCAAATCTCATCTACCTTGCATCACGCCACTCTGCTCACTTTTCTTGAGCTACATTCAATATCGGCTCGGAAAAGAATTGATCACTTTACTCTATTATTTGTTCGAGGTTTTACTTTATTAGGTCGGTATAGGTGGAGATAGATTTTTCATGCAACTCGTCTACTACGTTTAAGAAAAGAAACAAATCGAGATTCTTCTAAGTATGAAAATCTTCATACTTGTACACATGTATTAAAATGTAGAACAAAATGACAACTCAGAAAATGATCTGAAGGTAACAAATTTCAACCTGTTCACAATCTCGACTTCTTGTAATCTTTTGGATTCGAATTCTTGAATATTCAAAACATACCATATAGTAATATTTTTTAAAAACCCTTAAAAAAGATTTTCGATACTCCTGAAATCCTTTCGAAAACCCATCTTATTCCGTCTGAAAACCTTTTAGGCAAAGAACACCATTTCCCATCTACAGGTGAGATCAAATGTACTTTGTGGAGTGAAATTAAAAGACTTCTGTTTCTATAGTCATAATCTCACTGTATACTTTTGTAGCACGGTGTCTAGTAAGATTTGGCTAGACTTGTAAAAATGAGAGTAAAGTTGAAGCTTTTACAAATGAAAACAACGTATGTAAAAAGCAAGCGGAACAGTTCAAGAATGAATTACCTTGAAATTATCTGTGTACAGGCATTTACACGAGATAACGATGGTAGATAACTGATTTTATCTAGTAAAAAAATGAAAAATGATGAATATGGAAACGAATTATATTTTCTTTTTGAGTATCTTGGATTGTTTATACACTTAATAGAATATCTGACACATTTCTCTTGGTTTGATATTGGATGAAGACTATCGGGTGGCCCAGATAAAATCGGACACTTTCATTCATTGTTCATAAGACACTGTCCAGTAGTTCACAGAGTTTATTCTAAGCTCAATCGATAGAGAATTGAATTCTTGATAAAACTTGCTATTTGAATTTCTGATAACATTTTTGTCGTTTGAGCACTATTCATAATATTGAAGAGTACTGAGTTGCCTGACTGCGACACACTGGAAATAGAAAACTATTTGTCTTGATCCAAAAACAGATTTCATAAGAATTTTGAAAACACCAGACAATTCACCGGAAAATTCTGCATCTCCTCACATATTTTTCGAAATTTTACAGTTGAGTCTTCAAAGAAAATTTATCTGTGCAAAAAACTAACAAATCCCCAAAAAACCTAAGTTTTGAACCTATTTTTCACAGAATTTAGTTTTTTACCTATAAAAGCAGTAAAACGTTCTGAATCCAGGGTTCTAGTCTGATTATCGTATGCAGAATTAAATTCGGCATCGTTTCATATATAAACAAAGTTTCTCAATTGAAACCATTAATTAAAAAGTTAATTTAATTTGAAAAAATTTAAAAGTCGGTTGAGAGCTAATTATGAGTCCAGCTGGCGTAGCAGAAACATTGTATGAAGTTGTAAGGAAGTGAGATCGATAGAGCACAAAATTCTCTATCTATCTACGTAGATAAGTTAACTATTGAACCTCAGATAATGGGCTAAAAATCTCAAAAAAAGGATATGACAAAAGCTTGTCGCAGTCAGGCAACTCAGTACTCTTCAATATTATGAATAGTGCTCAAACGACAAAAATGTTATCAGAAATTCAAATAGCAAGTTTTATCGAGAATTCAATTCTCTATCGATTGAGCTTAGAATAAACTCTGTGAACTACTGGACAGTGTCTTATGAACAATGAATGAAAGTGTCCGATTTTATCTAGACTACCCGATATGTCTGTACGGATGTTTAATCATGTGTATTATGTGTTTGTTTATGAGAAATTAATTAGATTAATCAGCCAATCAAAAACGATACATGATTCTTATTTTTCTAGAAGGAAATGAAAACTCGATGGAAAGCTGCCAATAGATAATTTTGTTGTTGTTCGTACGTCTTTCTTCTTCCGTATTTTCAAGAGTTGCTTCATTTTTTGAAGAAAAGAGTTCATAGAATATTGATTCAACCATTTCATAAAGAGAAAGTTGCCTTTTTTTAATTGTGTGAATAACATTCTTCTTCTCTACTATTCCACATATTCTTTCCTTATCCTTAAGCTATTTTCTTTGAAAAAGACTTATTCTAGTGATTGAACCAACAAGTGAGTACATATCCGAACTTGTCTCATCTCCGTTGTTGTATATATTACTGTAGAAAAGAACATGTCACGAAAAATGAATAACAAAAGAAAAAAATAACAAAACTAAATTTCAGACTACTTAGTGCCTTTTTATTTTATTAATATAATCAGAATCAAGTGAGTGATTCTTTTCTTTCTGCATGCATCCAAGATCTAATTACTATGTCCTAATTGTCCAAAAGTACAGAATGTTATCCGTTTTGAGAATAATATAAAAAACAAATCTCAGTTATCAAGGAGATTTAATTTTTGACCACTAAATCGAGCGAGTAGAAAAGTATATTTGTATAGTGATGAGTCAATATGAACTATCAAAATGAGGCTACTGGTATGATGAAATTCGTTCGATTTCTTTCTTTTTGTTCCTTATGTCAGAAATGAAACAATTAGTTTAAACACTTTGCACCTTCATTTACAGAGGATAATACTATTTTACACTATTTTTTTTAAATTATTTGCTTTTACTGAAATAAAAATTTGGAAATTTTCTTTGTGTCTATTTGTGAGCTTGATCATTATTGTTGGAATTTCGACTACTGTGCACTTGTTATCCGCTTTCAAGATTCTCGAGCTAGTATTAATCCCAGAAATTGGAAAACAAAGTTAGACTTTCTTCCAGTTGATAAAAGTAGATAAAGTTTCTTCTATGAACAAGAACTTTAGTGAGCGGTGATTTTCTTACAAAAGGGATTCTGACCGATTTGTTGATTAATCACGATGCATTTAACTAACTGACAACCTATAATTATCAGTGTACACGCACCTTGAGAAAATTGAAATATTTTTTTGCATTCATTTTCTTTGAGGTTTATATTGATATATGTGTATTTAGAGTATATTTGGAAACTCTGATTTTGATAATTACATAAGAATTAGTACTACCCTAATAATATACTATTTTTCTTGTTTACGACAAAAATATTATACTATGTTTTGATAGTATATTAATGGGTGTTACTAGACTTTTTTCTTTGCGAGAAAGAAGACTGAACGATAATTTGTTCGACACCGTTGACTGATTGTTTTTCATTTTATAGATATGAATGTCATTGAAGTTTCGAAATTAATATACTCTTCTCACTTTTTGCTTTTATATTGAACTTGTAACACATAATCTGCTTATGAAGCTGTTGGTAGGTCATAGAGTAAATAATTGTGGTAAAAAAGAACAAAAAGTCTGTGTAAATATGTTTTTGTTTTATACATATATATATTTATGTATTGTATGAGACGTTTACGCTGTTCAATATTATTTATTTTTCCAATAGCAACAGTATGATTATTCCAGAAAAACTTATTCTTCTTTTGATTATGTTTTGTCGTCAATATACTTCAATATTGTCATGTGAAACATGTTTTAAACAAAATTTGATAAGTACGACAAATATGTCTGATGAGCAACGATTGTTTTATAATTTGATGAAAAATTATGAAAAAGCAGTGAGACCAGTGAGAAAAGCCACCGATAGTGTTGTTGTTAAATTAGGAATTACGCTTACACAAATAATGGATATTGTAAGTTTTGTGCGTATACTCAGTTTTAGTAACTTCTTTGTCATTGTACTTATTGATGTATCTTCAGGACGAACGCAATCAAATAATGACTACGAATATTTGGCTTGATCAAGTATAGGAGAAAGATTACTTTCTAATTAGATTTGTTTTAAAAAAAATTTTCCATAATATTCAGGAGTGGAAAGATGCCTTCTTCAAATGGTCACCAAATGATTATAATCAATTAAAAAAATTTCGGATACCGTGCAAATACATTTGGTTGCCGGATATTGTGTTGTATGTATTTTATTGCTTTTACAACAGATGGTTTAGATTAAATTATCGGTCTTTGTAAGGATTATTCCTCAAGTTAAAAACATTTCAGTTTGATGGTAAAAGATAGTGAAAAAAAACATTATTTAGACGCTGTATTTCAACTCTATATTAAAATAAAATCTAATTTCTAGCTGTTAAATAGCTTTGCAATGTAATAATGTCTTAATCTTTTAAGTATAAAATCTAATTTTAGAACGAAGTTTTAAGATGATAAAAATCTTCTATAAAATAAGTTTCCTTATCAATTAGTAAACGAAATATTTTTAACCTTGTACTATTTGAAAAAAGAATTCTTGCAAAGGCCGATAATTTAATCTTGATTAACTATTAATTTGATAATTATCTACAGTATCTTATTTTTGAAGATATAATAGTGCAGATGATTATACTCAAGGATATATGCAGAGTTTAGCCATGATTGAATATGACGGCAAGGTATTTTGGCCTCCCATTGTCAAATTTCGTAGTACATGCAAAATTGATATAACATGGTTTGTTCATAGCTGTACGATACACCAGAAGATGAATCGTTGTTTAATGCTTTTAAGGTTTCCTTTTGATGATCAATTGTGTTTCCTTAAGTTTGGTTCATGGTCGTATGATTCGACACAAGTTGCGTTAGTCAATCGATCAGACAGTGTAGATATGACAAATTATGTCGATAATGGTATTTGGAATTTTAATATTTTAACACTCATCTTGTATAGAGTTCTTTCGAGGAGGTTCACATAAGAATAAGACTTTCTGTACCCAGCACATGTCAGTTCTGATCATAGTCAGTGGATTCGTAAGTATCAATAAGTTCAAATATATTCATTGACACTAAGAAACTGAGTCTAACCTACAACATGTTCTCAAATTAGATTGAGCCTACCATGAACTGAGATCGGTATGTCAATCAGACTATTTTCTTCATATGGAAGAATATTTGGGTGAAGCTATGATCTATTAATTTGGCGTACAATCGCAACTGTTTTCATCAGATAATACAGAATATTCAGTACTATCTAAAACTTCACATCCGATGAGAGGATAATTTATGTAATATAAAACTAATGCATAAAATGTTCATTCATTATAGTTTAACAGTCTCTATAGAATTTTACTGTATAAGTCAATTTATCGTCAGAATACACGTTCCGAAACGTTTTTTTGAGCCTGCCAGTATTACACTTGTTGTGCTATATAAGAAAATGATACAAAACTTTTGAACACATACTTGAAATGAATGCAAAATTATGGGTCTTTCATCTCTTTTCAAATTACTTGAAAAGTTTTTATGTTCAACTATAATGAATGAACATTTTATGCATTATTTTTACATTATCTGGTGTAATGAAGTAATGTAAAAATTCCGTTCCGAGAGTTTCTAAACCCACTCTTTGTGATATACTAGTAGCTAAAGAAATTAGAAAATAAAAGTATCACTGTTCTCCTGCCACAGTGGACATTTTTCTATTAGTAGATGAACATCAGAACTGTTTTACTCGCAGACCATTTTTTCATTAAAAATTACCATTCCTTAGTCAGTGCAAATGCTATTAAGGAAGAAATAAACGTTTTCAGAAAAAAATCGGCCTTGCTGATTCATGAGATAAAATTTCGATGAGTAATCATTCTACCCAACATTTATTTTGTTATACATGATTTGATACAATTTGACGCGCTGATTTCAAATATGGTTTTTCAGAAGCCGTCTCCACAAGTGCAGAGAAAGCCTGCATTTTTTACATGCACCAGCAAAACTCTGCCTACCAAAGAGCAACCTGGTAAAGTTCGACCATTTTTGAATGCATGGAAAACGGTGGGAACTCATTATTTCATGGAAACACTCTGATTTCTTCACTAGTTTAGGACAAAAATTGATCGCTAATACATAGATGGAACAGCCTAGATTCAGAACCTGTGTCATTTTTAATGATATTATAAAAAAAACTTTTAGCCATCGAATCCCGTATTTTCGGGCTAATTTTCAGCTATCTGTTGTCTCACGACGCTATTAAATTAATTAAAGCAAACGTTTTTATAGTAATGAATAGCCTATCGATCGAAGCATATTTCTATGTCTTTGAATCTGTCACTTTCGTTTTTTGTGTAATGTCTGCCTGAATGCACGCTGTGCTCGTCCCCTCATTCTTTCTAAGTATAAAGGCATTTCTTAATGTTCGTGGTTTTTTGTGGAGGTGAATGGAAATTAATCAAATCATGGACAATACAATCAAGTTTGACTTATCCGTGTTGTGACGAAATTTATCATGATATCAAATTTTATTTTCATATACGACGAAGAACTCTGTACTACACGTACAATGTCATAATTCCTTGTATTATGCTGTCAATATTAACTTGTTTGGGTTTCTGGTTACCTCCCGAATCAGGAGAAAAGGTCTCATTAGGATTAACAGTTTTATTGGCGTTTTCCGTATTTATGTTGCTCATAGCTGAAAGTATGCCTGCCACATCTGAGTTTATTCCATTGATAGGTTAGGAATTATAGATGAAATATAATTATTTAGTACAGAAAATTTTGCCTCTATTTCAGGTATCTATTTTACAATTGTTATGGGCTTAACTTCAGGTTCAGTGCTGCTGGCTGTGATGATATTAAATATTCATTTATACGGCTCCTCATTGACACCAGTACCAAAACCATTAAGAAAATTGTTATTTATTCGATTGGCTCCTGTACTTTGTGTGAAACTTCATTGCGCTACTCTACATACTAAAGAGCCAAAAAATTCGCGATCAACAGGTCAACGACCACGTTCAACCACTGTTTACAATGCCGTATTTCTCGGAGAACAAGATCTAATTAATGATCATCATATATTTAATTCAACATATTTGAATAGTAATCATGTCAATACAACGACTTCGGTGGCCACATCTAATATCGAAAATAATGCCTCTTATTTATCAAACACCAATTCACCTTTGAATGAAACAAAACGTTTTCCGCATGAATTTAAATATACTAATACGGATTCGATACCAACCGTGCATACACTGCAAGAATGCAAAAGTTTATTGGGTGAATTGAATCGTATCATTTTGAATGATAAGCCGGAAAGAATTGAAGAAGATGAAATCTCAAGAGATTGGCAGAACGTTGCACTCGTTATTGATCGTCTTTTATTTTACACTTACATTATATTTACAGTACTTGTTACATTGATTACACTTGTTATCGCACCGTTAATGAAGACAATACCATTATTACCAGAAGAACGGCAACTGAATCTGACCAAGTACACATAATTTTATTTGAACCTCTTTTTGTCGTGTTTTACTGTACATTTTGTGTAAATAATTCTATTTTCTAATCTGGTGATACAGAGAGTATGACAAAATTATAGACCCTCTACATAAGTTGCACCAGAATTGATGTAGTTCTTTAATCAGTAAATCTTTTTTTCAAATGACCTTCTGATACAAATAGCCACGTCATCTAAACGGGAGTTGAAACTTTTTGCAACTATACCATTCAAAAGAGCAGAGAAAACTACATCGAACAGCAGTATTGTAATCAAACTATGGAGTTATTTTAATCTGTTTAAAAAGCTTTACCTAAATATTTTCCTCACGACATCTATTTAAATTCCATTTTTTGACTAGCTAGCGTTTGCCTTAAAATTTTTCAATATGATAGGGTTAAAGAGAAATAAATTCTGCACAAAATAAGCTATTGCATGTCTTTCTACTATAAGTAACCGATGAATTGTGGATGATACTTCGAAGTATATATTATGAAGTTTTCTCGGCTTACTGACATTATTTGCTGCAAAAAAACATTAATTACTTTAAAAAATATTAAGTTTTTGAACAAGGGACTATTATTAAAAGAATTCCTGTCCATTCTCCATTCATCATAAAAACTTGGTTCTTGTCTAGATTGATAGAGAAATGTGTGAAGAATACTTACTACGAGAAAATATGTAAAAATTTTTGTTCTTTCCTTTCTGTTATTGACTAAGTAGCACTAATTAACGTTAATTTAGCCTACTAGCTTATAGTGCCATTTGCAAAATAAGGACTCAGCAAAAGAATTTAAGCAATACCTCGTCTGATAGAGAATTTCATGGGCTACAAGACTAACTAGCTTAAGAGTTTTAGAATCCAATTCATTCATTAGAATTTTTTTATAACTACCCCATGCTCAAAAATTTAACAACATTTTTTTAAGTAATTAATTTTTTTCTCAGCTAAACAATGTCAGTAAGCCGAAAAAACTTCAGAACATATATTTCGAAGTGTCCTCTACAAACTGAGAAAATTTAACAAAAAAATTCAAAACTAAAAATTTTCTCTAATTTTTAGTTAAGTGAAAATATTTTCACAACACCTTGAACCAAATTTCGCTCGTAAGAAGCATTTTCAGGGAATAGTGTAGGTACGAAAGTTGTTCAGAATCACATTCCCTGGAATATGAACAACAGATTTTTCAAAATTCGCTAAACTGGACTTTTAAATTAAATTTTGCTAAGTTTTAAAATTTTAAAAATCGTATTTTTCAATTTAAAAATAGAGTTTAATGAATTTTGAAAAATCTCTCGTTCATATTCCAGGGAATCTGATTCTGAATAACTTTCGTACCCACACTTTTCCTTGAAAATGCTTCCTTCGAGCGAAAAATGGTTCAAGGTGTTTTTAAAAATACTTTTAGCTCCAAAATGCCATCGGGCAGGGTCAAAGCGGAATAACTCAGTCAAAGTTTGACCGAATTTTTTGTAGATACATCTTGATGTCCTCTATCGATTGATTTTCATATTTCTATATAAGACCGAGGTTATATATAGAACTATGAAAATTTTATTAAACTTTCAAAAATGGAGCAAAAAACCGAGACTAAATTTAAAAAATTATTTTCTCTAAAACTACAGGTCCGGTACCGGAAAAAAGTATTGAAATATATACGTCAAAGTGTCCTCTATAAACTGATAGGAAAAACCGAGTAGGAGGACTCCCCCTTAATGTTTCTCTTTATCTAGCAGTTTTGGGGGGAATTAATCGTAGTCGAAAAAGACATATCTACAACTCATCGATTACTTATAGTAGAAAGACGTGCAATAGCTTATGTGACTTTTGTAAAAAATTTTTTACCAGAATGCAGTCCTTTCGAATCATATTATTTTTAAACTTAACAAAAATCTGTTAACTAGAGAATTATGGGAAATAGAGAAAAAGTGAATACGTTGGAAACGCCATGTAGCCCAATTATATTCATTTATTTTTCGTTTATGTTGACTAGTCTAGAAACAAAAGGGACCATATGAAAATGTAGAACTTTTATCGGACATATCTGTTGCTTCTTACGGGATGTGCAAACTTGTAGTGAATAAACACTTTAAGATGGTTAAGCCTGAATCATCTCAAAGTAATCACACCTGAATTCAGCACTTTATTTTCGATAATCTGTTACATTTTAATAATTGAATCTATTTCATCGATTTTAATATTATTTCTAGTTTCACTCTTTCTATTGTCACCTTGAAAAAGGCTTTACCAAGCCGAAACGTTGGTGTTTGAATAAACATCATTATACGGGAATAAAGTATTTATTCATTAGAAATGAAAATGTAGGTTGGACAGACACGTGGCTATTTGTATCAGAAGGTCGTTTGAAAAAGATTTACTGGTTAAAGAACTACATCAATTTTGGTGCAAGTTATGTAGGGGTTCTATAATTTTGTCATGCCCTGTACAATGAATATATTCTGTTATTCTTCAAGAAAATCGAAATTATACAAAAGAAAACAGAAGAGAATGAAAGGATTTGTGCGTCGTAATGAAATGAAACAAAAAGTTCATTTTATAGTATCACATGGAATCAAGTAAATCTCCTATGAACTTTTATAAGATTGACATCCTTATCTACGAGTTCCAGTGGCGGTTAAGTGCATGTACGAACGTTATTTCTTGAATAGAAGTAAGCGCTATTATTGCATAGAAGAAAGATTTTTTATACCAGATTCTACTCAATCAAGATTACAAAATCCATCAGTTTTCAAGGTCGGCTCGATATTCTTTTTAGGATAAATTCTTCAGAACAACTCTACATTGCACATACAAATTATACACAAATTAACCTTCATTTTACATAAACATTTTTATGTGTCCAAGTGTACTTGAAACTCAAGATTTTGCGCGTATTTCTCGGAAAAAGCCTGAATGATGTAAGGCTTATTCTACAATTTGATGGTTTTTGTATTCATCATCGATTCGTAGGTTGTTAAAAGAAACTCAAAAAGTTGACATTCGCTTTCGGGCAGTTAAAAACAAAACAAAAAAGTCGTCATCACTACGAAACCATCTGTAATATTCATCAAACTATCTGGTATGTGGACTGAGGCTAAATGACTCATCCCTTCTATAACAGATTATGCACTTTGAATATGTGTCAGGTAAAATGAAATTCATTGGGTGAATCTATTAAATTAAATAAAGTTTTTAATCAGAAAA